GGGGGGGGGGGGGGGGGGGGGGGGGGGGGGGGGGGGGGGGGGAGGCCTTGTGCATCTGGGGCGAAAGCACGCGCAACTGTTATCACAAACAAGCAGTTCTTCATCTATTCCAGCCGAAACGGTTTACAGTTACACAACAGTTTTCCAGCGGTTTGGCTATCTCACCGCAGCAAGCAGGTTCTGATTAGAAATCCTGTCCTTTTCAGTTCAACAGTCAAACAATAACGTCCAGTCCAGCAAAGACCTACTAGACGCGCAAACACAAACACACACACACACACACACACCAACTTTTTTAGCCTGATTTAAAGCTCTGAGACATACTTCATGGTCGGGCATCAAAAGGATCTGGAAGCTCTCAAATGATGGAGCTTTCATCTGGATTCTGCTGGTGAAGTAAGCCTAGAGTGAACGATGGGAACATTTTGTGCCGGGAGAAAGAGCCCGGCGCACAGCAGATACATTTTTATCAATTTAGGAGGCGAAAGACAGAAATCTAACCTCGACTTAAGTGAGGTAAAAAAAAAAAATCTTTCTCTGTAGCTTTCCCAGGATAGTTACAGTTACAGCAAAGATGCTGCTTAAACAAAGATTATCTGGCACCACAGGTATCGTGGCATGAAAGTGATCCGAGAAGAGCCACGATAACTCACAGAGGGCCGAGTTTCTGCTCAGTGATGTGCTCCGTTACGCTAAACATGACCTCCATCGGCCCGGATCGCTCCACCGTCCTCCCCCCGATAGTCTGAGCGCTGACATCTGTTTTACGGGCTGGACTCACTAAAGCTGGACATGGGGAGACCCGGGGGATCCCAGGAGGGATCCCGGTCGGGTCTAAAGGGCACCCCGGCTTCCACAAGTCGTAAAAAGCGGGCAGGTTACACACACTGACGGCTTTACAGGGTTTTAAACGAGGCTGTCACGGGCTATTTTGTGTGTCCAAGTGGAGAAAAACCGCCCGAAACAATTTACTCTGGAAAAGGCCTCGGGCTTTATTACTGCTGACATGTTGAGCTGACGCTATACGAATGCAAACTTGTGCAGAAAGCAGATCATAAAGAGCCCAAATAAACTTTATTAACTCATGCAAGCTGACAAAATGGCGTCATGTGCTGCTTCACTCTCCTAACTGTTTGAGGGTGCCTCATGTTCAAGTCTCCTATGGTTTGTTTTTGCTTCTTTTTTTCAGTGAAATTTGATGGAACTGACAGATTCAGTTTGTTTTTATTTATTTATTTATTTATTTTCATCATTGCCACCCTACCTATAGAAAAATTCCTGAATATAAGATATACAAGAAAAATGACAGCTCAGCAATACTAAAGAAGCTAAGGTGTATCGTAAACTAATAGTTACATTTGTTATACCCCAATCAATTAAACAAACCAGATCACGACAGCATTATATTGTATATTATATGTTCTTTCTTATGTATTTGCCTGCCTAGGGACTACGGATGAAAACTAGCTTTGTAGCTATAATCCGGCATATTTACATTTGTTTTTATACTGATGTTCATTAATGTGCTGTGTCCCATTTCAAATAAATAAATAGATATGGTAGTTATGTAAACAAAATTCAGTTATGGTTTTAGTTCTGATTTGTTTTCCCTTATATCTTAATTCGAATGCTAACCATGAACGTGGAATTACGTCTTGTGTGATGTAGAAATGCTCACATAAGTCTTGTTTCCCTGATCTATCTCCTGGAGGCGGTAACACGCAGACGCGTGTGTAAGATGTGTTAAACGTGATCATATTTTGCACTTGACTTCTTTATTTGTTGCAAAACAAAACAGTGTTATCTGGATGCGGGTTATGAGGGTTCTGTTTAAACATTGAGCTGCTGGGAAAACACACCTTTACCAAGCACAAAGTAGTGAAACCCCAAATAAATACGAACCTCAACAATGAAATAGTTTCTTTCCTCCGTAGTGAAATTGTGCTTGTCATTTGCATTTCTTTGCATGTGACTGCTTCCAAGGACGAGGAGCTGTGTGGCGGTCCATCTGCGAGCGGGCGCCGCGCCACGCCGGGGTCAGGGGTCGTTTTTCGGGGGTGCATACTAAGAAGCCTCGGGATGATGCAACGCATTATTATTGGTGAAAACAGAGCTGGGAGTCGGCCGCACCACCAACGGCTCACTGTTTATCCTGAGGAGAAGAGGAAGTTAAACGTGGCTGTTTTTCCTAAAACAAGCCAAAAAATCCGTCTTAGGTAAATGTTCAAACCTGGGAGCAGTTTTAAATACGGGTCCGGCGTCGACAGGGACGTAAATAAACGATTGTCATGTTAGAATTTGGTTATAATTACTCACTTTAGCATAACATGCTAACATTACAGCTTTTCCTTTCTCAGTTTTTCTTTCTCTGTTGAATTAGATCCACCTTTAGGTCAACACACACACACAATATTTGTTACCACATTCCAGTGTCATCTGCATGAATTAGGACCTGGCCTGTTCATGACCAGAGGTAACTAGCCAATAGGACTTGGTTGTGTCCAGTCCTCCTTTGAGAATAGACATGTATACGCTGTTGTTTTAATTATGGAGCTAGAAACAAAAATAATTTCCCTCTGGGATTATTAAAGTGTTTCTGATTCTGATTCTGAGAGAGGTTATTGTCTGTTAAGAGCCCAGCTGATATACTTTGCCTGTGACCCAATATTTACGGGGTTTCGATCTACTCTGGTTTATTCTCAGGTTTCCGAGTACAGAATGGGGTTAACAGTCAGCTCGCAGAGGCCGAGGCGTCCAGGTGTGTGAGCGGTGAGCTCTGCCAACTGTGTCACCAGATGAGAGATAAGGGAGTTAAAAACCCCCGTGATGTGGCAACAGCGTCTGCTAAAGTACGGGAAAGCGTGTTGTTTTGAAAACAGGAGCCCGGGTGGATGTGCGCGGGGCCTTTTGGGCCGATGGGCACGGGCAACGCTTCAGCCCCGGGGCGGAAACAAGCTCAGGTAAGCCTCCGCTTCGGGGGTTTGTGGACCCTAAAAACAGATTAAATCCTCCCGCGTGACGTCACGTTTTACACGAGTGAACCGGCAGATTTGACTGGATCTCGCAAATACGAAAACAAACGTAGTGAAGCGCGCTTCCATTCATGCTCTCCTCACTTCAGACGAGGTGTGAAAGCGGCAAAAGCACGCCGACCATCTCTGTTTACAGTCGTATTATTGTCTTTGGCAAATGCTGGATAAGTTCTTGTTAACTGGGTTTTGTTCCGATGCTTCAGGCTGCAACTCCATATTTCCTAAATCACTCAAGGGGCACCTCGAAAGCTGAATTATTTAGGTGCTTAAAACAAAAGGTGGAGGCTTTTGTGAGCCGCCCGTATGAGGAAAAACAGAGAACTTCATCTGCGTGCGTCTTTAGTGAAGCAGATGGCCGAAACAGGCCGGACGTGAGCTTGTCTTTAAGACTAAATTGAAGACTTAAACCACAGGGTTTGGAGATGGAGAAGGACCGTCTAAATCAGAGACGCGTCTCCTCTGCCGGGTGTGACCCGGCATCAGGAATTAAGGGCAAATATTTGCTCGCAGCTCTGCGCTTTCATTAAAAAAAACGGAGGTCGAGGGGACCTTGCGATGGGACGGCGGCGGCTTTTGAGGCCCGGGCGGATTCCGGGCAGCGACCGGGGGAGATCTGTCTGACTTTGAGCCTGAATAAAACATGACGCGGCATGTTAGCAGCGACGATCGAGGAGGCGGCTGAATTATTCATGTGGCAGAGTAAGTAGCAGGAGAGGATGAGTGGCTGATGGTGGTTGGGTGGAGATATAGAGGGGGGGATAGGGGGTTGACTGAGGTTGTAAAAGAGGAAGGAGAGGAAAAAGGAAGCGGAGGGAGGGGGTGTGATCTGTGATCTGTGATCTGTGAGGCGTTAGGGTGTTGCCGGGCTGTAAAGACCAGAGAAGGTCATCTATCCCGCCTCTGGCCTCTGGTCAGTTATCATCGCCCCGGAGGCCGCGTCCACTCACCGACAGCGATCCGCCTCCTCGCCGCCGCCGGCTGAAACAGACACTGCGAACAGCAATTTACGCTTTTGACACGTTAGTGGAGCACGAGGATCGTCTCGGGTTCCCGTACTGGCTTTAACGGTGAAGGAAAAGAAGCCAACTGTGATTATTATGAGCGGACGCATTTACCAGGAAATCGATACTTATTAAAAAAACCCATCCCGCGTGCGAACGGGTGATTGATGAGGACCGGGGGGGATGGATGGATGGATGGATGGATGGATGGAGGTCCGATGTTATCCCAACCTCGGTAACCCCGCGGGGACGGGCGCTCCCATAAGAGCTGAATCAGTGTTTTCCCCTCTGCAGAGCGGAGGAAATGTGTTCCAGTCAGCATCTCTGAGCCAAAGCTGGTGCTACTGCACCACCTGCAGGCGCGCAGAGACACCCAGAAGTTCGTTCCCTGCAAAGACCAAAAGACCACCAACCACTGGTCATCCTGCTGCAAACAGAGCACAAATACACATCCACACACTAGTCTAAATTAAGGACCAAGAGAGATAACTGTAACTGTTGCTTCAATGCAGCTTTAATACCGTTGTGTCTGAATCGCGGAAAAATATTTGGATCCAAATCAATTTTCTCCACCGATTATGATCTGAAACGCTCGTTTGAACGGTTGTCTCTGTTCTCATTACTCTGAAGATAATTCAGAAGCCATGTGTTCCATTTAACCTGGAGAAAGTGTTGTGATTGGACGTTACCATTGCAGAGTTCATCCTGTGAATCCTGTTCATCCTGGGTCTCTGTCCGCCTTCAATTCGACTTCCAGACGGCCTCGTTCCTGTTTGTTGGACCCGGCTATGTCCGAATGTCCACTCACCGGGTGGGGACACGCCCTGCAGAGTGGGAGGTCAGCAAACACCAGCAGGAAAAACACGCCGTCTCAGAATTAGGGGAAGCTTCTTATTAAGGACATATCAACAATAACAGGCTGAAAATGTCTATGAATAATTCTACTGTTGTTTCTTAAAGACGGTTTGGGAAGAATTCTCAATACAGTTGTGAAATCCTGTGCAATTTGTTGTTGACAATTACTAAAACACTGGCTAAAATAAAACCTGAACAGCAGTGAAATCAGATGCAGCTCTCAACACCCGCGTCCAGAAGTCTTCTCGGCCCCCCCGGTCTTTTTTTAAAA